GAGGAGAAAGACGAGAAAGGGATGACCCCGGACCTAAGTCTCCTAAGTGGTTTCGCTCGTGGGGTGTTATTATCATTGCATGTACGTGACACGTGTCTGCATTCGGGTTCGTGGCTCCTATCTGGTTTATTTTTAGGGGGGTTGTTTATTAATGGGGGGAAGCGATTACTTGCTAGCTACTGCCCAGTACGCGCCGCGCTGGGCAATCGAAAAGTCAAGGATCGATCTGTCATGGTTCCGGGGCGTTTGAGGTAACTTTTCGGTTTGGAAACGCATTCCGGCATTGGGCCGGGCCCGTTACCACGGTGGCGAAGATGCAACAGCGGTGAGATAGATGATGATCAATTGCAGCGAAGGTCGATGAGTGGATCAATGTCAAACTAGACCATGCTGAAGCCCGGAGCAAACCAAAACACCGCAGCAATGAAGGTTGAATCTGCGAAAATCAGAAGTGCCAAGCAGGAGATAGCCAAGATTCATCAAGGGGGGTTTGAAGCTGGGCGTTCATGTTGCACTCATGGTCGTGGAAGTGGTGAAAAGGGCCAAGACCGGATTGACAGGCGAAGCGTGGGTGATGGCAGGATCCATTCAGGGGGAAAACAAAAGCCCGCCGACAGCCTGGCTCGACGATCACTATGTCATTACGACTCGGGGACCCGGCACGTCAGATTCGCAACGTGGTGGCAAGCACCGTTGAGTGCCTTTGTCGCATCGCTTCGAGCCAAGGCAAACGCGGGTTTACAGCCACACGGAATCCTTGCGCATGGGCATCATGGGCCATGCTACTTTTCTCTGTGTCGTTCCAATTTCATCAGATGATCCCCGAAGGGGTTTTGGTATGATGCAGGTTCGGGGGCGTTAGAGAACGCATCAAAAGACTGGGAAAGCATTTAGCTGGAGTCGTTACCACCGTGGCGAAGATGCACCAGGCGGTGCCAGTTTTTGTTGTTAATTAGATGGTCGATGAGTGGATCAATGTCAAACTGGACCATGGCGAAGCACATAGCAGTGGTCAGAAAGCCGAATGCAAAGGTGGCTCAGGCTTTCACCCATGCCCGACGCAGCACCAAGACTCTGTGACTCACCCAATTTTGTCGCAGATGCCTCGCCCACGCATTACGCCGCGCAGAGCATGGTGTCGGGATCGCAGCCCTTACCGGGGACCCCGGCCATTCGTCTGCAGCTAGCCCTGCAACGCCGCCCCCAGCTCGATCCTAGCCTCACACTTGTCTCCGTTGATGTCACGGCAACATATGACCTCATCAGCCGCCAGGCAATGCTGAGGGCCCTTTTGCGTTCACTCGAGGCCTCGGCTTTATTGCCTTTCATGCGTTTGTGGTACCGAGAATTGCCACGGAAGTGAACCCAGTCCTGGGAAGAGGGCCAGTGGCCTTTGCGGGCGCCATGGCGCGCTGTTCCAACGCGAGGCTGGCCCCGCGTCCTCTCCGAGCTCAAGGTGAGCCGACGCATGGGATGACCCGTTCTTTTACCCGGGGCAAGTCCAAGATGAATGAGGCCATCAGGGTGGCTATGGACCCGTGGGCACTGGACCAAATCGTGAATCTGCTTTAAGGGGGTTATATGCGAGTCCAACAAACGCCCGCAGGCCAAAAAGGTGGGGGACGCGGAGACGCTTGCACGAGCAGTGGCGAGAAGGGATCCCTTTCACTTGACTCCTCGTGTTGTCCTTACGTTTGCCGCGGTTCTGAAGGCTGCCAACTTTTCTTCGGCTACCTCCTACCTCAGCACCTTGTGGTTTCTGCGCCCCGACCGGGACTGTCATCACGCCGTCCCTGAAGCGCATGTTCGCCTTGGCCACCCGCCCCCTGAAACGAGGGCGTGGGCCAGTTCAACGGGCTCCAGCTGGGTGACTTCCGTACGGAGGGTCAGAAGGACGTGGAAAAGAAGGGGGTTCTGGCACACCCTACTTGCATCTACTTGCTATACGCCCTCGCCCTGGCCTTCATGCTCAAGCGATTGGAGCTGGAAGACCTCAAGTTGGAGGATATAACCGTCGCCATGGACAAAAGTGCCGTGGCGATCAAGTTGGTCAAGTCGAAGATGAACCAGGATGCCAAAGGTGTGACAGGAACCCTGGGGTGCACATGCAAGCGAGCTAAATCTACATGCCCGGCTGAGCTGGCCAACGTCCTGGTGAACAAGATTAAGGCCCGCATTACCGTGATCAAGCAGGAGACGGTCTGGGTGGCGTCGGACCTCCTCGGGCACAGTGTTCTTGCCCCGAATTATGAGTTTCTCTAGTGAGGACGGAATCCAAGATTCGTTGCTGATGTGCCCCACGCTTGGCAGCAAATCCTTGGCACGGTTAAAGCTTGGTGCGAGAAACTCATCGGGAACGAAGCCCGAACTGTTTTTTATCCGGTGGCATTTGCTATGGGCAAGCTTTGTTTTGGTTTGTTTTCTTCTCTCATCGCATGCAAATTTGCTTGCCGCATGGGGCAGAAGTTTTGATTGAAACGCGCGCCTCCTATGTTACAGCGAAATGTGCATCAAAAAACAAGGATCAAACAAAACACCAAATAAGGATCAAAAAAATTAAATAAGAACAGCGGAGGGGCCTAGCCGCTTGCCGCTGCGGCCGTAGGAGAGCTAG